TGGCAAAAGCCACAGGGCCTCAGGTCCTAACTAAAACACACAACACACACACACACACACACACACACACACACACACACACACGAACGAGAGGGGGGACGAATGTCGTTTCAAATGAAATGTGTAAAACTGGTTTTGCTAAGCAAAAACTAGACTCAGAGAGACAGACATAGTACACTTTCTCTCATATGCAGAATCTAGAGTTTTTCCTTTTTTAAAAATATGGAAGAGATGAAAGTAGACGATAGACAAGGAGACTAGTGGGGGACAAGAGATCAGGGAGGGTAATGGGAGTTAAATATGAGCAAAAAACAAGATTTGAAAATATCATAATGAAATCCAGTTTCTACAACAAATATTCACCAACAATAATAAAGAAAAAACCAAGTTTCCACGAGCTTCCTGCAGTCATTCCAGACTCCTCAGACCATCAACCTCCCCAAAACACACACACACACACACACTCCCAGCACAGAGCACCGCGCACACCTTAGCCACCCTGGGAGCCCTGTATGTTAGGACTGGAATGCTGAGCTCCACTGGTACAGGTGCCCTGCCACTGCCATTTCAAAAGGCCCTTGATATGTAACTGAATGAGCCCCCAACCATGAGTGATAAGGACAGACAGCAAAATACATACATCTCCCCAGCATGTCTGCAAACGCTTCTGGTCCCTCATCTTACCCCGATTTTACAGGTGCAGACAGGAGGGCTCTGACCTGGTGGTCCCAAACCCATCCAGGTGACAAAAGGCAGGTTCTGGTCTGATAAGATGTCTCAGCCAGTTAAAGGTGCCTGCCACCAAGCCTGGTGTGGTAACCTGAGTTCCATATCTGGAACTGACATGGTAGAAGAAGAAAACCAACTCCTGCAAGCTGTCCTCTGATTTCCCAATGTACACCACAGTGTGTGCTCAAGTGCATATACGCACACTCCACACACACACAAAAAAATAATAATAAGTACATTAATACAATAAAAACAATTTTAGAGCTGGGCATTGATGGTGCATGTCTTTAGTCCAGGCACTCGTGAAGCAGAGGCAGGTGGATCTCTGTGAGTTTGAGGCCAGCCTGGTCTACAGAGCTAGTTCCAGGACAACCTCTAAAGCAATACAGAGAAACCCTGTCTTGAAAAACATAAATAAATAAATAAATAAATAAATAAATAAATAAATAAAATAAAAACAATTTTAAAATGGCAAGCCTGGGACCTGAATTCCTGGGGATCGAGGCTCATCCTCCCCTGCGATAGCAGGTGGCTGTCATTAAATATTCTACTGTTGTGCCTTCACATTTAAAGCATATATCATAAGCATCTTGCCCACCCCACCCCAACTCTCCAAATGTCCCTCTATCCCCTCAAATGGACCTCTGCATCCTTCCCCAAGAGGGCTTGTAACATTGACTCAGAGACATATTGAACAGGTCTGGTTAATATCGCCTAATACACAAAAAGCAAGCCTACAATGTCTGATCACAAATGGAGAGTAAAAGGCTGCCTTCAACATATACAGTCCACATATCCAGCCCTTGGGTGCAAGCAGCAAGAGTCAAAGTTCCCTCCAACCAAAGAATACAAAGTGACAGTTATGTCAGCCCTCAGAGTCTTGCAGCCCCTATCCTGATGGGCTGCCTGGTCTGCAGCTGGGAGTAGGCTTGCTGCCAATGGTTTACACAGAGGCGGGAGGCCCCAGGTGCTGAGACCTACAGGGCATTATCTACAGCCTTGGGTTTGTCCCCAGAAGCCTGAGACAGGTGAGGATATTTTTCCTCTCTCCACCAGTTGAGGGTAGCCTAGCAACATTCCTGAAGGCCCCAGGAGGAGGTCATACTACAAAGGGAGTGAACCAAGAGGTGGAAGATACTCCCTAGCAGACCTACTTCGCTTTTTGAATTTTCTCTGAACTTGGTGCTCTGTTGCAAGAAAGCCTACGGTCCTTTCTAAACCAGCAACACCTTCAGCTTGGTCCAGCTTGAAACAACTAGCTGAGCCATGGACCACACACAGTTGCATGAGCTGCTAGTTGCCTACTGGAAAGGAAGTTAAAGTGTATTTGCTATCCCCCTGCTGCTGATGCTGAGCCTGCTCTCTGAGAGGCAGATGCGACAGTGTCCCTCTTAGGAACTGGAGAGGACACCTGTGGCTCTTCTCGCTCTCAAAGCAGGTGGGAGTGGGCTGCTGGCCTCAAACTCACCCAAGCTCCGCCCCACCCCAGCCAGATCTGAGAGTAAAACTCAAACTCCTACCCCTGATCTCTGTGGTGGAAAGCTTGTATCACTCCAGTTCTCCTGATCACTTGAACTGCCTAGAGCTGTGGGAATCAAGCTGGCTTGTGGCAGACAGCTAGCACAGCCAAACGGTGCCACTGCTGCTCAAGATGTCCATGGCACATTTCAGACTAAGAGCCCTTCAAGCCGGGCTCCAGATCTGACATAATGTGCTGAAGCACCCAGTGTCCCGCCTCCTGCCTGCCCCACACGAAGCGGGTGACTAAGTCACACACTTTCCTTTGTCTACTTTCCAAAGCCCTAGTTCTCAAAGACAGCAATGTGACAAGCAACACGCAACCCTGGGGCTTAGCAGACACCGGGATAGCACTAGCATGAAGCCGGCTAGTCGCCTCCCCAAGACATGGCCTTTAGCTTTCTGCCCATGGCCAAAACAGCAGCAGCTGTTGCCAAGGGAGACAGGGTGACCCAGAGGCGTGGGCACAAAATCCAGGGATGGAGAGCCACCTTTGTCTGGATCTACCCAAGTAAATGGGTCTCACTAGTTGAGAATACATGAAAGAAAACAATCCCAGGACTGGGAGCGTAGCTCAGTAGGAGAATGCTTGCCTAACATGTAGAAAGCCCTGGGTTCAATCCTCAGTGCAACCAAAGAACCAACCAACAAAACCCCTGCTCCCACACACCCTTTTTTTATGTGCAGGCTGAAGAAGCCTAGTCCTGGAAGACTTGGGTGCTGAGGAGGTGGTTAGCCTGAACTCTCAGAAGCACACAGACCTTCACCTGCCTGGAGCTGGGGAGGGCTGCAAGTGAAAGTAAGGTCAGAAGGCAAATGTAGGCCAAGGAAGGCACAGTCTTCCTCTGAGCTGACCCCAGCCCAAAGATTAACCAAGAACCTTCCAGACAGAGATCCACCACCCTCCAGGGATAAGGATGCCTTTGGCTCTCAGAGTCTAAAACAGCCTGGGAGAGAGGATGCATTAGACCCGGTCTTAGTTTTTCCCTCTCTCCTGTGAAGGTCTGTCTGGTTCAAAGGCAAGATCATTTTAGACCCCGCTGCCTGCTCTGTTTTCCAGTTCTGTCTTCTTCCAGGCCTTCATCAGTCATATAACAGTGCCTTGTAAATTGTGAAACACTCTGCACAGCTGTTTCATAATTGATATCACTTGAGGCGGTGGGGGTTCAAAACATAAAGCATTCAGTCTGGGTGCACCCAGGCATATTAGGAAAAGGCTATTTCTCCGGATCTGACAGACCTGAGACTCAGCCATCCCACTTCATCAAAAGGATAAAGAAGAATGAGGAGCCAGGGCTGGAGCTAAAACCCAGGTGCCTCTGACCACCACATCACACCACCTCTCCCCCTAAGGCCAGGTGGCAGAGGCTCACAGGCCAAGCATTCTTCCCAGACAACATACTGCTTTCCCTCCCCATTTATTGACGGGATCCACCCACCCAGGTTGGGGGGTTGGTTGTTTTTTGTTTTGTTTTGGACTATTTTTTTTAAGCAGGCATTCCCACCATCTGTGGTGTTTATTTCCAGGGAAGGCTGACCCTGGGTTCCTGTGGACAGATGTTGCTTTGAGCCTTACTGTCAGGGCTGGCAGCACATACACAGCTGCCTTGAGCAGGTGGCCAAGGATGGAGGCCACCCTGGTCCAGAAGAATGATGAGCTCTCTATCTTAAGCCCTGGGAGCCCTCTCTCCATTCCTCTGCAGTCTGGAACACCCACCCCACCCCGCCCCAAACATCCGCACCTGTCCTCCTCTAGAATCAATCTTTAAAGATGTCTTGAGAAGTGGGGACAGAAGGCTAAAGTGCCCTCACCCCAATTCCCAGGAGCAGTTATGTTCCGGGAGGCCCTGGGAGTGAAGTCACTGACCCCTTCCATCAGCCATCTGTGAGCTCCCGCCGGACTTCTCTAGCCCGATGGGAAGGATAAAGGAGGTCAGGACAGATGGCAAACCGTTTTGGGAAAAGAGGGCTCTACAGGAATGCAGGGACAGAGGGAGGCCAGCTCTGGGGTGTTTTGTTGTCTGTCTGGAGCTGCCTGCTCGGTTCTAGGCACCCGCAAACTTTGAATTAAAACGAAGGCAAACCAGGCAGGAGTTGGGTGGGAAGAGGGAATGGAATGACCCTACTTTCTGCCACTTGTTTCTCCCGCTTCAAAGTCGGTGCTTTGCTCTGCAACTAAGTGCGTGCCTGCATGCGTGCACAGGGGGCGGGAGGCTGGCACAACCAAATCTAAAAATACTCGATAAAAATGCTAATCCCAAGGCAAAGAAAAGAGCGAAGAAGGAATCTGTCAATCAGCGAGCTCCCGCTCCTCACCCACAGCTGTACCGACTGCATTCCTGTAGATGAGGAAAAGAAGAGGGGGAACAGGGCTGAAGAAAAGAAAGGGACACACGCCACCACCTCCACGAGCGCGGGGCGGGAGGCGGCGGCGGAGGAGGGGCTCGGCCGGCAGAGCCGAACAAAGCGGGGCCTCTACTTGGAGCCCAAAGCCCGGAGAGTGGGGGGCCAAGCTCAGCAGCACCCCTGCTGCCCGAAGGCGGCTAGCGATCTTTGAGGTCTGGAAGCCAGAGAACCGCATGGAACCCTGGGCTCTGAGCCTGTACAAATCCGAAGGTTTTGTTTGGGGTCCCTCTACCCACTGCCTGTCCCTTTACTAGCGCGCGCACATACACGCACACGCCCTCCCTCTCCACCCGGGCCGCCCTAGGGGGCTGGGCCGGCGCCCCCCCCCCGCCGCTCCCGGCCCCCACCTGGGGATGGTAATGCACTTGGTGTTCACGTTCTGAGTGGTGATGGCCTTCTCCAGCTCGTCCAGCTGCCCGGTCTTCTTGAGCTTCTTCACCAAGCTCTTAACCGCCTTCTCGCACCATTTCTCCTCCTGCCCGTTCTGCTCGCCCTTCTTCCAGCCCAGCAGGCGCTTCACGATCGGGGGGGTGAAGGGCAGGATGGACGACATGGCTGGCACAGGAGGGTCACCGGCGCCCCCGGCGGGACTGGATGTACTGGGGACGCCGGGGGCGCACAGGGGCAGGTCGGCCCGCGCCGCGCCCGAACTTCGCGTCTAACTCTGGAGAACTTGCTCCGGCGTCCGGGCCAGGGCCGCGGTGCTCCAGCTGCGGTGATCAGGAGCACGATGGCACCCGAGCAGCTCCACGAGGACCGGCGGACTGACGGGCAGGCCCCCGGTGCGCGGGGCGGAGGCGGCGGCCGCGAGACTCCGAGTGGCAGTAGAAAGTTTGGGTTTCCGCACGGGGTAGCTGTTTGGGTGCCGCCTCCGGGAAGGAAAGTCCAACCCCCAGCCAAACTTTGCTGGCCTGGATGGCTCTGGTAAGCAGATCCCTCCGCCTCTGCAGCTCTCCTCCTCCTGTTCCTCCTCCTCCCCTGCGATCGCCGCCTCGCAGGGCCGGCCAGGGCTGTGCAGCCGCGCTCCCCGCTCCTCTCCCGCCCGCTCCGAAGTCTACGTTTCACGCAGCTCCGCGTGCAGGCTCCTTCCCAGCGCTGTCGCCGCCCCCTCGCCGCCTGGGCTCCCCGCTCCTCCCCCGCGCTCAGCTCCGGGGAGGACCCACGGCCTTCCTCGCCCCACGCTGCCAAGCGCGCCCACGTGGGCCACTGGGCACGGCAGCAGTCACCTCTGCCGAGCGCGGCGGGACCGGACTCCTGGGGACTCGCCGTCCTCAAAACGTTCAGATGTAGTTGCAGGAACTGGAGAGGGTTAGACTCGAGCCGGGAACAGGCGCGGGCCGCCTAGGGTTCACTGCTCCCGGGAGAGTACCCCGATAGGATGAGGGGTTCGGTTCCACGCCTAGGAAGCCTGGGAGCACTGATCTCGCTCACTGGCCCAGGCTGTTTTGCTTTGGCTTGGTGTTTTTTTGTTTGTTTGTTTGTTTGTTTTGTTTTTGTTTTCCTGCTGGGTAAGATCAGACTGGCTGACTGTCCCGATACTGCGGAGGAGGAAGTTGGGAAGGGGGAGAGGGACACTTAAAAGTGGAGTTAGAGACCTCAGTGACAACTTGAACAATAGCTGGAGCCAGGGGTCCCTTGGGCCTAGTGAACCAAGCTCTTTGCAGAAAATGGGCCTCAAAGACATTTGTTGCATTCCTGAAGTAATGAATGGGGGAGATTTTTAGGATTTATCTTTGAGGGAGGGTAAGAGTTAACATTGCTGGGTGTTACTGAAATTCGACGCCTAACAAGCTAGAAAGCTTTGTTTACAAAGAGTGAACTCGCACTCACAAAGTGGAACGAAGTTTATTCAAAGTTAGCCTAGGTGGGACGTCAAGAAAACCTGACTTTGGGTAGCCCTGGGGCTTTTCCCCTAAGTATCAGAATTCGGGGCCAACTGCCCACTGTCCTTGCACGGGTTTGGAGGCGTTACAGCAGGCCCTCAGCTCCTTTATCCTGCTGCTGCCACCCCATCAGGTTAGCCCTGTAGCTAGGGCGACGCTTGTTTTAAACAGTGGGAAACTCCACCACCACCGGCGGTGGTGAGAAAAATGTTATTTGCAAACCAAGAACCGGTGGGAGTTACGAAGACCTGTGAAGTGTGGCCAATCCCACAAAGTCAGCCTAGAAGCTGCCAGGGCCCCCAGCTCTGTCACCGAGTATGCCCCATCACCAGCCACAGCTTGTCAGAGACTGTGGTTTCCTAGGCCTCTCCTTCCACCTCCCTGATGCCAAGTACTGAAAGGAGGAGGATCGATCCTTGAGGCCCAGTGGACCCTAACAAGCCAGTTCCTGCACTCCTGTTAGATGTGGCTGAAGCCTCTCCTTCCACACGCCTTCCAGCCCTTACCAAGAAACTGAAAAGTAAGGCGGTCTTAACTGCCATCTTCAACCTAAGACAGCCCAATTTCTGCCCTCAAGGTCCATGCCCATATTTGCCTGGGAGGCATGACCCCAAGGAACAAAGACAGGGTTTAAACCCAGGGTTTTGTTTTGTTTTGCTTTTGTTTTAGAGGTCTTGCTCCTGGGCCTAGAATTGAAAAGGGCAGATTTGACACAATTTGCAAAACAAAAGCTCTTCTCACAGGTGCTTGATCAGTTTCCAGAAATGTCCTCAGGGGCCCATTCCTCACCAACTCCTAGGGTGTTGGGACTTTCCAACAGTCCAGTGCTAGACAGGAGTGGACCCACCCCAGAGGCCAGTGAAGAAGGGTAGCCTGGGAGGTGGGGTGGAAACAGGACAGACCTGGGCTCTGTCAAATCCAGCTTCCTCTCTCCAGTACTTCCAGGTAAGCTACTTTCACCTACAGTGAAAGAGGAAGGTCCCTAACCACGCACTCACAGCCCAGAGAAGCCCCAGGTGTGCTTAGGAGGGTGGAGGACAGAAAGGGACCTATGTAACCATCATCTTCCAGTTAAAAGTTCATTTTAACCTGGACACCAAACTCAAGTCAGTCCAGCCTTTGTGAGGCAGCCAGGCCAAGTCCAAGGTGCCCAGGCTCCATCTCTGGTCAATTTTGAATGTTGGCTCTTGACCCTTCACCTTGCTGAGCCTCCAGCCTCCCCTGTACAGCATGGTGGATCTAGGAAGAACATTAGGGGTGTCCTCCAGGACAAGTCCCCCGACCACAGGACCACAGGGGAAGAGGTGACTGAGGGAAGCTATTTGCAACACGGAGGAAAGGAGGCCACTTGAGAGAGAAAAGCTGAGGAGAGAAGGGGAGAAGAGGAGTCAGTGGCATGGAAGAGCCTCTACATCACTGAGGCTCCAGAAGGGACCATCATCCACCCCTTCATTTCCCTGAGGGAAAGAAATATGTAGGCAGATCATATGAGAGCCTAAACTCCCCTCAGGTGCCAGCCAGCATCAGTGTGATAAGGACCACCTGGGTTGCAAGAAAACTTCTGGACCCACCTGCAGATCTGGGATCTCTCTCTCTCTCTCTCTCTCTCTCTCTCTCTCTCTCTCTCTCTCTCTCTCTGTCTCACACACACACACACACACACACACACACACACACATTTTTGAAGACAAGGTAGCCTGTCCTGGAACTTGTTCTATAGATCATTCTATAGATGAAGGAGCTGTCATCAAACTCAGAGATCTGCCTGCCTCTGCCTCCTGAGTACTGGGATTTTTTCCTCAGGTCTCTCTGTGAGACCATTTAGGGGCATGAGGCCAGTTACACAAAGCTCTGAACATGAGGGAGAAATGGACCCCTCTACTGTGAGCAATGGCTAGGTGGTGGCTTACGCTAGATTGGTTATAACTTCATCGGGCACCTAATCTCCTGGGACCCTGCCAAGTCTGCCTTGCAGACTTTGTCCTTGTCCTTGGGAGGGAAACATTAGCCCAGTTAATTTTTCATCATGGTGAGTGCAAAGTTCAAGAGAGGCTGGAAAGGGGTGGAGGCAGGTCTGTCTCCCTAGAAATAAACAGCACACTCTGGTCAGAGACAGGGACAGCCACATGCTAAAGTGTGCATGATGTGGTTCCTGGGGGAACCATGCAAAGAAGCAAACACCTGACTGCAGTTAAGATGCTTAATTAGCCCGTGGTGAATCTGGAAAGAGTGCTGGGAAGGTTCTGCCTACATTTCCACACAGAGAGGTGACGTCTGGTGAAGACAGGTGGACAAGCCAGGGCTGGAATTGTCATCAGAGGACCGCATCTAGCAGGCCTGTCCACAGGCTGAAGCTTTTTGTAGCCCCCTACCCCAGGTGGCCCTCCTAGAACCCAAAAAATCCAGCTCAACATGGAGCTCCCTGTCCAACTGAGAAGCAACTCCTGAAGGTTGTCCTCTGACCCCCATATATAGGCCATGGCAATGCCCCACCCCCATAAGTTAATAGATGTACACAAATAAGTAAATGTAATTTTACTTTCTTAAAGATTTTTTTTTATTTGGTGTCCTGCCTGCATGCTAGGACACCAAATCTCACTATAGATGACCGAGAGCCACCATATGGTTGCTGGGACTTGAACACAGGACTGTGGGAGAGCAGTCAGTGCTCCTAACCTCTGAGCCATCTCTCTGGCTCTGTAATTTTAATTGTAAAGAAAAACACTGTTCTAAATGGAATCAATAAATTAATAGTACAATGCTATTTTGTAAAATGTAAAATGGCTATGGGCACATTGCCACCAAGAATATGAAATGGTGCTGCCTTTATGGAGAACAGCATAATAATTACTCAAAAAATAAAAATTTAATTACCATAAGACCCAGCAATTCCACCTCAGGTGTACACACACACACACACACACACACACACACACACTGAATGCAGGAGTCCAAACAGAGTATCTGCACACCGATATTCATACCAACATTATTTTGCAATATCCAAATCTGAAAATCCCATAAATGACTATGAATGGATAGACAAAGTATAGTGGAATATTATTCTGCTTTAAAAAGAAATACTGCTTTGTGTTGTGATGCAGATAAGCCTTGCAAAATCTATGCCAAGTGAAATAAGCTCATCACAAAATGACTAACATGGCATGACTCACATTTGCAGGGACAGAAAGCAGGTGGTGTTTGCCAGGAGCTGAGAGGAAGGTGCAGAGGTACTGTGAGTTAATGGCCATGGAACTTCAAGTAGGGAAGATGGAAGATTTCAGAAGGTGGGTAGTGGTGAGAGTTATTCAACAGTACAAGCGTGGACAATACTCAGAACTGTACACTTAAAACAGGTAAAGTGGGGCTGGCAAGATGGCTCAGCAGCTAAGAGTACTGGCTGTTCTTGCAGTGGGGCGCCAGTTACATTCCCAGCACCTATATGACAGCTCACAATTGTCTGTAACTCCGGCTCCAGGAGATTCAAGTGCCCTCTTCTGGTCCCTGTAGGCACTGCATGCATATGGTACACTTAGATGCAGGCAAAACACTCATACACATCAAAATATTTAAAATGGAGATGTCTATTTTTTTACTAAATAAAAATAGGAATTAAAATTTAAAAAAACCTTACTGAGGGACCTAGAGAAATAGCTTAGTGGTTAAGGGCACTGGCTGCACTTCCAGAGGACCCAGGTTCAATTCCCAGCTCCCACATAGCTGCTCACTGTAACTCCAGTTCCAGGAGACTTGGCACCCTCACACAGACATACATATGGGCAAAGCACCAATGTGCATAAATATAAATATTTTTTAAAAACATTGAATACAGGTGTTTGAGGGTAGATGTATGGACAGGAAAATTAAGGCAAAGCAAGACAAATAAATTCAGGGCTCTGAACTAATCAGTGACCTGTGTTAGAAAGAGTGTGGTTAACTGAATTCTTTGGTCCAGTGCAGCAAGGTTAAGATCTAGGCTCAGTATATAGCATTGGTAAAAATACTAATTTTATGGCTTGCTCAAAGGACAGTGCCTAAGGCTCCCAGCCTACCACCACCACCACCACCAGTTCCAGTATCAAGAACATGATGTTAAATGCTCATCTAAATAACCTCCCTAGGGATGTGCAGGCCCTTCCTCCCTAGGGATGTGCAGGCCCTTAGGAAGCAGAAATAGGGCACAAT